AAAATAAAAGTGGTGGGGAAAAAAATCACATGCCTTAAAAAGAAAATAGATGCCATGAATGATAAAACGTTGTTGAAACATTTATTTTTATATATATTTCACAAAATTTTCACAAAAAAGTATTGAAACTCAAAAAAGGAATTAGATTTGAGTTGAATACAGAGATGAAGTGTACAAGATAAATGAGCAGGCAAAACTTAAAAGATCTTGAAAGTGATTTTTTTTTTTAACTTCAGATTGAAAAAATGAACAGTTCAACTGTTCAGTTTAAATAAAGATTTGCTAGATATACACGTGTTTCATGAATACCAATGCTGGTTATTTGAGGCAAGTAAATTCCTCAATTTTTCCTTCATGCTTTTTCTTCTTCTTCTGTTAGAAAGATACTGTTTACAAAATGAAACTTGAGCAGTCCAGGAAAAGCTATTTTTCCATTAAAATTTATGAAAACCATAAATTGAGACAAACCTAAGATTCCCAATGGAATCAAGATTATCTTCCCGCTACCACCACATTAAAATAATCACATGCTTATTGGAACACCAATCTGTGCAACCTGACAGAACATTTGTTTCCAACAAAGAGGGTGATTCCTTGAAAAATTAAATAAAAACCTTCAGTGTGGTTAAGTAATACAGATTGGTGTATTACATTTGTAACAGCATTTTATAATGGCAGCTAATAATACTGGATTAATATAATTTAGAATTTGTTCCCAAAGCAGTAAGGGTAGGCCTACAGTTATAAAACATATTTTTAACTCCAAATAAATACTTTGATAATGCATAATGTGAATCCTTGTAACAAATTCTAGTTAACGAAAGGCATTTTGATTTTAAAAAAATGATTGGAACAAAACAGAACGAGTAACTCTACTGTCAAGCTAACGTTTCTTTTTTTTCAAATTAAAAAAAAATATATGCCTAGTGTTTTAAAGGATTACGGTGTTTGAATTTTTTGTCTTCCCCTTCCCCTTTTTGAAGTCAAAATGCTTTATCAGCTAGAGTTATTTTATTAATTTTCAGTCATGACAGTTTTGGTCGTGTTGCATTATTATTATTAATTATTATTATTATTAAAAATAATAAAAGCTTAAAAAGCTTTTGCACTCTATCAGTGGTAAGTTCAAGTTGGTCTGCAATTTATAAAAGAAACATCTCAAAGCCGATATCTGTCTCCAAAAGGAGGGTCATCTTCATTCTTCAGACCGCACGCACCCCACAGCCTCGCATCCCGAATACACGCACTCACCCACGCTTTCCTCTCGAAGGAAAATAAAAAGGTACAGTAAACGTCACTTTACATTCTATCAATTAAAGTGCTCCTTCTGCCTGCCTGTTTCTTTTCCTCGTTTCTTTTCCAGATAAAGCGAGCGACTACAAATTCAACCCCTTCCATCCTGCATTTGCAGCAGGGACTTCTGCCTTAAAACCCACGGCATGGCTGAGCTTAGGAAACCGTCTTGCGGGGCGGGAGGGTTTCAGAAAGGACAACGTAGGCAGGCTGGAAGAGGATTTGCCTCTTTAGACAGCACGGCAAAGATAGCCCCGTTGTGGAGGACTGTTTAATTCTCTTAAGGGTGGATTAAAAAGTCTCTGGAAGGGAATGAGGTAACATCGTTAAAAAAAAAAAAAAAAAAGAACAATTCAATCCATTTGCATTAACCGTTCTCCTTACTTTTTTTAAAGGAAGAGCTATGAAGCTGCAAGAGAAGGGAAGAGGAGAGAAGGAAACCAGGATAAAAGCATGCAAAAAAACAGCATTGGAATTACACTACCCTTCCCCAACCTGGTGCCTTCCAAAAATGTTGACGGACAACTCGCATCGCTCTCAGCCAGCATAAGCAGGATGAAAATTGCAGCCCCAACACGTGTGGAAACGCGTCAGACGGATTGCGAGGAAGTTTGAAAACGCGGGTGTCGACAACACGTTTTTTTCCGTAATGCAGCAAGGCATACCCCTTCCTTTAATAAAGTAACTTGGTTTCCTACTTCAAAAAGAGGGGGGGAAAAATCTCCTATGAAAGCTAACCTGGAATATATCCCATCGCCTGAGATGATGGCACTTTAGAAATGGGTGAAAAGTTTGTTCTTCCTCACCAAGAGTGGAGTACAAGATCAGAGTTGACACAGAATGTATTTGTATATTTTATAAACAAGCATTTGCCCTGGTATCAATCTCCTTTTTCCTCCAGAGAACCAACTTGTGCCCACAGGTTAAATGTGCTATTAAATTATTTCAATGCTAAAAGGAAACGCATCACGACGCTGAGCTAGGCCGTTCGCTACATTCGTCCGAGGTTCAGATGACAATTCGGCTCTTGGTTTTTGTTCTCAATTAAACGAATCATCAGGGGAATGGAAAAGAAGTTTTTCTACAATTTAAACGGTAATGTTATGTAAAAAGTATTAACAAATCCACTATTACAAATGTCAAATTTCCTATATGGTCATCTATACATACACAATAAAATGGCAAATATTTGCAAAAATAATTTTAAAATTATCATGCGAGAATTTACTCTCCTTTGAACTTTGGGTTTCCCTCAAATTACTTTTTTTCCCCCCCGTATTTTTTTTTTTTTTAAATCCCTTGTTTTATTTCAGTTCATTACCAAACCCTTAAATACAATGTATTCTACCCCTAGAGGTCAGCACAGAAGCTGACGGGATATATTTATTTTACATTCAAGCTTTTATATCTAAACAACCCTGTTGTAGCATATGACTTATTGGATAAGCAGCCTCGTCGTCTTCCTCTTCCCTCCCCACCCCACCCCCTTTTTTGTTTTTTTGCAGTTATCAGTCTTCATGATCTGTTTCGTGGCGAGCTGGAAAAAAAAGGAAAAAACTAAAATGCATTGCTAATCAACGTTCCAACAGTCTCGAGACTCCAGACAAGGTCTCGGAAGTCCATCTGTCCAAGTTATTCTTGTAGCACGAGAGCATTGCACACAGAAGAACAGTCCCACCGTCCGATAGGAAAACTATCTACACAAGTCTGAAAGGGCAGCGTCTCTCTTGTGTTTCCTTTTCTTGCCGTGGTAAAATTGGTGTGGCTTACTGCCCTGGTACTGTTTGTTCGTCACCAAGGTGCCGTGGCTGGAATTCCCGGGACCTTGGAGGCTTTTGTTGGAAGAAGTGCGGAACAACCTCACGGATCCGTGCTGTGTGAGAGAAAGGACAGAGAAAGCGTGAAGACCGGCTAGCGTGCTTCTGTGCTGTAACGGGAGCGGGTAACTTCTCTGGGCAGCAGACGTTCTTGGATCTTTGAGGGGCGCTTCGGAAAGTAATGGGTAAGGCCAGGGTGAAAGCAAATTCAGGGTCTGCACCCATTCAAGGCAGGAGTTTGAAAAAGCAAAACAAAACACCCTTCTTGGTCTGGGGAACATTCAGAATTTGGAAAGCCTGTAGACAGCACACTCACAAAATGACTACTAGGGTAAACGCGGCAAGACAAATTTGCTCTGCAGGATGCTCCCTACTGCTTTTGGGGGCCCCAAAGAATTGCTGCAAATATATATGATGCTAACAGTGGGTCCTTGGCATCACGTCATTAACAAAAAATAAATAAATTAAAAGTCAATGGGGACAGGGAAACTAGTGGCATCTAGGGAAATGTCTGGGGATATGCTGATGCCTACGGCAAGTTACAGAAAAAACAGTACATTTTTCACTTTTCATTAAAGGAAAATAGGATATAGTGCTGGAAATGGGAACAGGAGAGCGGTCTGAAATCTACTTGTTAAAATCATCTGTGAAAAAGAGCGGTTGAGAGTCGGGCAGTGTAAAAAGTCAATAAATGATAACACTTTTTGTGTTCTACTTCACATACAGTTTAAAGGACCACCATTTGAGGGTGTTTGTCGCACCACTTCTCCAATTAAAATAAACCGAGTGGAATGACCAATGTCCAGTTCTGCCATTCTACTTGTTGGGAAGGAGATAACCATGATTCCCAGACTCCAGGCTTAAGGTACCCCAAGCTGGGTTTAAGCGCCATACGGTGGCGTCTCTGCAGCTCTTAAGACATATCCAGGGGTGGGGAAGAGAATCCCAGCCCTGGGAAGGCTTCAGATACTGAGAGGGGGAACCCCGATGATTTGGACCTAGGGCCATACCAACCTGGGACTTATTTGTCACGTTGGATGCATTCACGGTTTGGCTACTTGGCAATTTGCCACTCAGCTGAGAGGACCCTAGTGATATCTCCTGAGATGCCAATCGGTTGGCGGAAGTCTGGCAGGAGCCCAGCTGTTTAGAGGTTTTGCACGGCGTGCCATCAGACTCCTGTGGAGAAAGGAGCGTAAATATGACTATCTCAGTGTTCCTCAACCTTGGCAACTTGAAGATGGGTGGACACCCCTCACGGTAGCCCCGGACAAAAATTCAACTGTTGTGTTCAGAGCTAAATGAGGTTCTTGATTGTCCTTGGCAACTTGAAGATGGGTGGACCTTGGGTGAGCCTCTCTCAACCTTGACAACTTGAAGATGGGTGGACTTCAACTCCCAGAATTCCCCAACCACCTTGCTGAGAGTTCAAGTCCACGCATCTTCAAGTTGCTGAGGTTGAGAAACACTGTCCTAAGGCATTTAGAGGCAGCAGTGCAGTAATTCAATCTGAATTTGATCGGGGCATGATACTTACTACATCACTGGAGCTGGAGAGCGTGGATGATGATGATGACAAGGGACCTGATGAAGAATTTGATGAATGTTTGCTTGGTGTCTCTGAAGTTTTATTTCTAGGTTTTCCTAGTGACTGGTTCTCTTCAGAAAGGTTATTGTTATATTTGTCCAGCTGTTGATTATCCACTATTAATGTCACTCCGTTACCTAGTATCAAAGATGAATGGAGAATAAACACTATTTCACAATAGGGGAGCATGGTCACAATTATAAATGACTTGGGAAATGAGGTATTTGTGCGCGCGCACACGCACACACACACCGTCCCCAAATATTGTTGGACTGTAACTACTGCTATTTCCTTGGATGTGATCTAGAGCTGAATTAAATAAATATTTCTCAAAGAATCACAGGAAGTTACCCAGATACTAGATTGAGATTACCTCCATTCATTTTAACATTCCCCCTACCCACCCATTTTGCTGTATTAATTACCCACCAAGGCTCGGCATCATTGAAAAGTACTACGGAAAGCTAACAGAAAGGTTTAAAACACTGGAAAAATTGGAAAGCAGGCAAGGTTTAAGGTTTTAGAGAAGTGATTCAGAATACGTTAATTGGAAGAAAAAAAAAAGCAAATAAGAATTGAAAACTGAAGTATAAAAATGACCAGCTAAAATAGTTGCCAGAGAAAGACAAGAGCCCTATTTCAAAGCAAAACTTTTCAGTATCCAAGGAATTTTCAGAATTTTCTGTTCAGCATCATTTAAGGAATTCCTTGTAGGCAAGTGGAACAGAAATGAAGTTTTTAAAAAATGCATATGAATTTGCACACTCAATGTAAAGAGGATGTTTCGGGATGTCAGTTTAAAGGGGATGTTTTATAATACAGTCTGAGAATGGCCAGACTCTCCCTAGTGCTAAGAGTTATTTGTCTTGACATTGCAGCTCTTCTCCATAAATAATCAACTATGCAGAAAGGTATCTTTGTACCTCAGTTACTGGGGAATATCATTAAACCTGCATTCCTCTTTCCTCCTCCAGAAGGAACCTCTAATCAAACCTATAAACCAGCTTGAAAACATCTGTCCTGTGTTCATTTGGGTATGTTGGTGTACTCTGTTCATGCAGAAGTCAGTTCTGTCACATTTAAATGGGTCTCATAAATCATTTAGAATTGTGATTTTCTGGTTCCATGAATTCTGTGGAGTAGGCATCAAACTTCTACCCTTCCATCCACATATCCAACATAACAGAATGGGGTGGAGTAGTATTTTTTAAATTTCTTCCTTTGAAGGGAAACAATGCTATAGCTTAATAAAGGAAGAATTTTCTACAATTAACTTTCATGCTTACAGTGAAGCATTGCATCAGGAGCTTGTATAGTGATGAATGGAGCTATTTCCAAATAAGTACATAAACTCAACTTTACTGCTTTTCTGTTTGAGCCGTTTGGGATCCAGCTGTTTTCTCAATCCACTGCTCTCTGCATGTCCAATCCATCTGAATGCTGGTCAGAATATTTGGAATAACTTAGCAATTGGCCAAATGCCTTTTGATTCCTCTTATATCATTACGCAATTATTTTACTATTTGTCAGCATAAGGCTACTACCAGGCAAACCTTTTGCAGGTTTAGTGATTTTAATTCCATGCTTCTTTTTGTAATGTATGCAGATTAGTAGCTTGTTTTAAAATCAAAACAGTACGTCTTTTAATTGCAGGCTCAGAGTGATACCTGTAATTCTATTTTCCAGATTTTATTACCTGGTTCCAAAGACCAGCACCAATGAAATCTTGGTTGCAAGGACTTTTAAAATATCTTACCATTGCATGAAGTCTCTGCATTATTCTGTATTCCCCACTGTTTTGATATCCACTCTCTGTAGGTCACAACTTCTTGCGTAACTCGGATGATTCTGCCTAATATACTGCAACATTTTAAGATGAAAAAAACAGATTACTGGATTGGAAAATGGGGGAAAAAGAGTAACATCAGCAAGGGCTCTGACTGAAACACCAAATGTTTACCTTTCGCTTTCATTGTTGGGGTAACATTTAGCTATTGGTGAGACTGCATGGCTCAGAACAACATATGCATAATCGAAGGCCTGCTTTACTTGCATGGCACCATAAGAACTTCTTCCAACATCATTACCTTCAAAAAACAAAAAGCAACAGTTAGGAAAAAATCCTATTACAACCATCCTAAGTATGGTTATTTCTCAGCCTTGTTCAAGTCCAGAAAGCTTTATGACTTTTTTTTGAACCGAATGCCTGCCGATCTTCCAAATACAAAGCTATTAATGTGGCTACAGTTATACAACTAAACAAAATACAGACTAAGATTATGAAAAAATACATCATCTTAATTTATGTTACACGTTTTCAGGGATTTTATCAGGATACTAAGGGAAGGAAGATAGATGGGCCAGATTAGGCGTTCTTTGACTGACAGAGTGTAGCTTAAAAAGAATAGTATCTTAATCTAAAACAGGAGCGTCTCTCTCAGCCTAACTTGCCTCTAGAACAGTGTTTTTCAAACTTAGCAGCTTTAAGATGAGTGGACTTCAACAGCTGGGGAATTCTGGGAGCTGAAGTGCTCATATTAAAGTTGCCAAGTTTGAAAACACTCCCCTAGAAGTTGCTGACAGCAACTCCCAACAACCTCGACCACAGGTGATATTGGCTGGGAGCACAAGTTGGGATCCAACTGGGAAGAGCTGGATTAAACATGTAATTCACACCCAGTGGTGCCAGAGATCCAACTTTCTAAAAGAAAAGCGCATAACTACAAAATGCAGATGTCTTGGTAACAGCACATTTGGAGTACTTCAGTGTGCTCTACAGGAGACCGTTGGAAATTTCAATTATTCTAGAATGTTATAGCCAGATTATTCATTGGGCCTGGCTTTGGAATCAGGAGATTCTCCCATGGAGCCAGCTCTATGGCTTCCAATTAGTTATTAGGCTCTGGAATTCCAAGTGCTGGCAAAAAGGTTTAAAATCCACCCAAGTTCAGAAGCCAGATCTCTAGAGGATCATCTTTTTCCAGATAAGCTTTCTCTTTAAAGTAGGGCTATCAGACCTGGGTTGCAAAGCTCCAGGCAATGACTAGACAGCAGTGCAGAGATACAGGAATAGAGACACAGGCTGTTCCCTTCATCTAATCCCCCTTAAGCCTATTAATATTCTGCCGTTTAAGACAAATCTGGCAGTATGTTCAAAATTCTGCCATTATATTAGTCAATCATGAATTAAGTCAGTTCATGAGTAAAGCATCAGGGAAAGAGAATGAAGGAGGGGTGAAATATTTTCACTTGCTTCTACTCTGTATGTTAAAAACCCTCCTATGCCCAATGCAAAGCCCCAATACCTGGTTGTAGTGGATCTTCAATATATAGCATTGATGGTCTATAACCATCTAGCATATTCTTCTGCACTTCATCCTTGGCCACATAGGAACCCCCATCCTTGATCCGGATTCCCGTTTTCAGGTAGTTGAAATGACGGCCATATAACTCAAAAAATTCTATTAAAAGGACGCCGTAATTGGCACTGGGGGTGCAGGCATCCCCCCTGGGATGTAGCTGTGGAAACAAACAAAAACGGTTGAGAAGCCCATCTTCAATTTTCTTGACCGTCCGTTCAAAAACTGAACAAGATCAATGAAAGCACACCTGATGAAGAAGAAGGAGAACCCTACACCATAAAAAGCATTGTCCAACATCCTATGTAGAGCCTCCCACCCTTAATACAGCAGGCACCAGTATCTTCAAATGTTTCCAGCCTATCTCTGCAAAACTCCAGGTGGAACATCTGTTCATGCTCAGTTGGTACCCGCATTTCTACCTAATTCCATCCAACTAATTCTGCAACTCTGTGATGGGCCTTACACATCACGCTGAGTTACAATTTAGTTTGCTGATGTGTGGCTTAATGCAAGATATGAACCCGGCTACTGAGGTAGGTAGGTTTTTGTGAACTTTGATTCAAGCCCATAGTTTAGTACAGCTCCCATCATCATCTGTCAAGAAGAAACAATGGTTGGTCTTCACTGGATGCTAACAATTATAAATGTTACCCAAAAAAGTATACTTGTGCACATATACACATGTGTAAAGACCAATGCATGTTGCTGCTGCTTCAAGAAGAGGGTGAAAACGGCACATCGAAGACCAACCTGAAGCTGAATGCAGGACAACGCAAATTCAAATATTTGGTCCAGCTAGATAAATAAGTCTTAGCCCTAGCTATTCATCTGTAAGGTGAGCTTATTCCTTATGAGCACTTTTGTGACATTAGTTACTTCATAATAAAATAAACAAATGCCTAATCAAATTGATGTAAAAAATTCACTGTTGAAACTGCACACTGAAGCATCTTTATTTTCTTTAAGCCTATTCTATTTCAAGTAGTGATATTTAAAACATCGCATCTTCTGCCCCATAAACTTTATTGCAAAGTTAACAAGCGTACAATCTAAGTTTTATCTTGTGCACTTTTTATAGTGATTGCTTAATTATAAACCAGCTGATTTTTTTTTTGAAACTGAACTCTGTACCATTCCAAGCAATAAGGGGTACGCAACGTTTAGGATGTGTATTCATGAACCATCAGGAAGGAATTTTAACTTACTTGGAGGAAGCTGACAGCCATTAAAAAAAGACTATAAGATCCAATTCCACCTGTGAATACTTCATTGAGGTCCCTCTGCAATAAGAACTGTTTCAATACTAAAACTAAATATGGCAATACAGGATATTTCTGCAGAAGAAAGAGAAGACGGAAATTAGACTTCAGTTAGAAGCAGCAGAGTAACTACTGCTTATATGAAAGATTAGCTTGTCCAACAGCTTGAACCCTTCTTAGATAAGACTTTTGGTTTTAGGTTAGTTTGGCTGCCACATACTATACTCTGGGGGAGATGGGCGGCATATAAATTTAATAAATAAATAAATAAATAAACACACACACACACAAATATTTATCTAGCTATATACCTCCATACTTTACTCTGCAATGATAGAAAATTATCTAAAACCGTTAATATGCATGTTATTTTGATTAACTCTTTGTACTTTAGTGCTGTTGTAGACTGTAGATATAACATTTGATTGTTAATTGTTTTAGTCAGGGACTAGTTGACCCCACAGGCAATCTATTTCTGCTGTTGAAATGGAGAAAAGCAAGAAATAGGGACCGAAATACCCATCAGAGGACATCCAAATGAGACGTTATTCACCTCTGCAAGATTCAAAACTTACTGGTGTTCATTCTTGAGGTAAGTTTTAAATATCAAAATAATCGGCGTTACTTGGGGGCACACCTCATATTTGAAAGAGTTTCTCTCTCCTTAGTTTCAGGTACAGTAGCAGAAGCACATCAGCCAGAGTGATCTTTCCACACACCTGTATCCTGAGATCATCAACCGAGCCTTAACATTTCAACATTTATATTTTAAATTCTTTTCCTACTCTACCAAGTTCACAGAGAGAAGTATGTGCCCAAGCCCTTGAGAAAATATTTCCCATGTTAAACTGATTGGGTAAGACATGCTAATTTCATGACAAAGTTTTTCCTTTGGCACATTGTTGGCAGGTTGAATGATAAAATGTTATCCGCCCACTTACAACAAAATTCTTCTGATAATTCACCTGCGCTAAAGGCCAAACTTTGTTTGCCTCTAATTCTGAAACAGAGTTTTGACATGGAAATACAATCTTGGGGGAGGAGGGGGGGAAAGACCCAAAAAATCTCATTTAAAACGGTTGTGTTCTGATGCCCTCTAGTGGAAGCCATGAAAAATGACAAGCATTGCTTAGGGCATTGCTTTGAATTTTCTTCCCCCCCCTGAAATTCTCACTCTGCCCTTTTGCATTAACACATGCAAACACCATGAATGCCTTTCTTTTCCTCTATGCACAGCATGGGAACCAGGTTCAACCTGCTGGTGTTCCCAAAGGTGAGCCTCGGCCCACTATCTCCACCGTTCCTGAATTTCTCAAAGGTGCTGCTCTGAGATGATTCTTAGTTAAGGACTCTTCCCGGGAGGGGGCAGGACACTCTGATCCTCCTCTTAGGAGGAAGGAAGGATGCAGCATGCAGTAACACTGTGCCTGCAAACTGGATGATATTATTATTATTGTTGCTGGTCACACAGTCAGCCAGATGCTTAGACCAGATTTGGCATTTTTATCCACCGATCGAGTCCTTCCCAAGGACCTGGGATAGGCAGATGTGGTTGTCTGATGGTGTGAAAGGTTTACTGTCGCAGGATATAAGCTGTCCCAAGGAAAGTTCCCTTTTGCAATGGACTGATGGTGATTTTGTCAATGCCGATGGTCTTCAAGTGGTGCTCCAGATGTTTTGGGATTGCACCCAAGGCGTCTGTGACTATTAGGACTACCTTTGCTTTCTTTTACCACAGTCC